AAAAACAAAAAACTTTCACAATTGCTTTCTTTCAATTACAGACTCACAATTTAGCATGTCTTTTAATATACAAATAAAAATTATAAGTGCACATTGAATGGAAAACAATCTTGGCCTGATTTCTCAATCATTTCCACCTGAACTCAATCCACACCTTAAGCATTCTTATGCAAGTGTCTAATTGTCAGGTACTGTACACTGATTTACAGTGTAAAGGTGTACGGTAATTAAAAGCTTCTGTAATGTCCTCTTAGTCATCTTTGACATGCTTCATTTCCGGCTCAAGGGCATTGTTGGTGGTTTTTGGAAGGAATTTGAAGACAGATATTAATTCAAAACATAAACTAAAGTGTGCTGAGCATGGGTTTGTGGTTTAAGCAAATAGTTCAGCTGAACACTCTTGTACTCACCCGCATGTTGTTGCAAACACGACTGTCTTTCTTACGGTACAGTGAGTCTGTTGAAAGAAAAAAATATTTTAGCAAGCTTTTTTTTTTTTTTACTTTGGTTGTCAGCTGTGCAATATACAGCGGGGGAAATAAGTGTTGTTTTTTTCCTGGGAGCAATTTATACAAAGGAGCTGTTGTCATGAAATTGAACCAGATTTGGGTAAAAATCCAAACAATACAAACATAAAAATAAAACAAGACAAAATCTGAAAAATGAGTTCTGTTTAATGACAATGAAATGACACAAGGAGAAAGTCTTGAACTACTGAAATGTATTTAATACTTTATAGAAAAGGCTTTTAAATGATGACAGCTTAAAGTCGCCTCTCACATGGAGAATGAAATAACACGCATTTCTCAGGTGTGAGTTTCTCACAGACTTCGACAGAGTGTAAAAATCTTGATGCTTCAGTGGGTCTCCACTATCAAATCTGATCTTTATTTTGTATTTTTTTATTGGATTCAAGTCAGGTGATTGACTGGGCCATTCTACAGCTTGATTTTCTTTCTCTGAAAGCATTTGAGAGTTTCCTTAGCTGTGTTTTGTATCGTTGTCTTGCTGAAATGTCCACCCTGGTTTCATCTTTATCCTGCTGCTAATGTAGATGTTGGACTGAAGCAGCGAATAATAATTTACTCTAAGGAAGGGCAGAGGGTTGCTGAAGAACTACTGAGAGATTTTAGCTGCTGTCTGGGCTTTCACTGCCTTTCTACACCTCCCTTCATGTGTTCCATCCTTTTTCCCTGTGTCATTTAATTTTATTAAACGTAATTGTATTTGTAAACTAATTAGTTTTGATTTCTTTGCATATACGGATTTCTTTGGGTGTTACCTAATTCCAAGTCACCAGCAACTTTAGAAATTCTGAGACAAATGGTGACGTGTTCAAAACTTATTTCCCCCACTGTATTGTATGAACAAAATTATTGTTTATATCATGGTGTCACAAAATACATTGTTTACATTTTAATACTGTACATTAAGCATGTACAGGGCTCGAAATGAACTCTTTTACTTGGTAGCACTTCAAAACTTTAGAAGCACCAACCAAAAATGAATGAGCACCACAGCAAATTGTATAATAATGGATTGATTGTATTTGAAAGCAACAATCAGGACTAACAAAAATCAGAAACAACTATCTAAGTCAGTGGTTCTCAAACTTTTTTCATCAAGTACCACCTTAGCAAAAAATTGTCTCTCCAAGTACCACCAAAATGAGCAGTATTGAAATACAGTAGCGTAGTAGGCCCAGTAAAGCAGCTACAGCTCTGCACAGTTAAAAAACCTGGCAGATTACCTCAGAAATATAGCCTATATATATGGCATATTATATACATCATTTTTAATAAATTTTGAATTATACACGTACCACAGTTTGAGAACCACTGATCTAAGTAATTCTGTGATGACTTATTGATATTTGTGCAATAATTACAAAATGAATGTCTAATACTTATAAAATGAAGACATTACATATGGCTATTTAGCTTATTAAAAGTTGTGATCTGGCTCTATAAAAAAAAAGGGCCCTATAAAAAAAATTATAAAAAAAAATATCAATACGTAATATTATAATATATATATATATATATATATATTATAATATATATATATAAATGAACTTGACTTCAAGGGGGGCGGGGAAAGCCGTTGGGAGGGTGGGGCACCCCCCTAATATAATGGTAGGGGAAACACTGACACCATTACAGGGATGCAGACAGAAACATGAATAACAGCATCATGAGAAGTTGCAAAATCTTTACATTTTGCATTTAATGTACAGATATTTCTAATTTTTGCTGGACCTATATTCAACACATTTTGAAAAGCATTTCATATTGTATTATTATTCATTTTATATTTCTACATTATTAATCAAACAGTTGCCCTGAAGGTCTATATAAATTGAGAAATAGGATCACAATTGAATGAGTTAATTCCTGAGTATTCAAAATGTAAAAACATTAAGTCTCTTACATGTGGTCAATTTGCTGTATATATAAGCTATTATTTATTGAATTATAAACGGTATTATATTATGAAATATATTGTTAAAAGCTAATGTAAATTGCATATTTCTGAATATTAACTTGTAAAATATTCCTATATCATTAAGGGAATGTTGTATATGTACATTGTGTTTAACAGTTTTTAATCTGTCCTGCCCAAACACACCTTCCTGGAGCTTTCCCGTAATCCCAAATACCTGATATGCTGGTTCAGGTGTGTTTATTAGGGCTGGAGCTCAACTTTGTGGGACAATCCCTGTGTCTGAACACTGTACTCCCATCCTGTCTCATTCCCCATTGATTTATCTTTCCATTGAAAGTGATTTTTATTGATATTTTAGTAGTTTGAAATAAAATAATGTATAAGAAATAATATCTATATGAGAAATTAGTCTGTAAAATAACAGAAAATGTCCTGGCAGTTTATCACAAGGTTTTTGTACCATACTATACAACCCCAATTCAGACAATATATCACTTTAAACTATTAAAAATGCTAATAAAATTCAGTTTAAAGTTGTCAAACTGCTAGAAAACTATGTAAAACTGCTAATTTATTGATTACGTTCATACAGTGTACATGATCTATAATTTTAATTATTATTTAATATTATTATTTAAGATAAAGATCAGAGCAAACTATTACTCACGATTTAAATAGATATTTTGTTTTAATTAAATTTTTATCAGATGTTTATTGGATGTTTTATTTGGTATAGCCTACATTCGTTAATTTTCCTTCGACTTAGTCCCTCATTTATCAGAGATCACCACAGCGGAATGAACCAGCATATTCTAGCCTATTTTTTACACACAGATGATGCCCTTTCAGCCACTACCTAATAATGGGAAATGGCATACATGCTTATTACATTCTGCAGAATCACTGCAACAAACTCATTTAGGTATAAATCAAGTACTTTACTACAGTATTGTTCAAATACACTATGCTAAATATTTACTAGGAGTTACTAGCAATGTTTTTTCATGTGAGAGTGAGATTTTTGTAGACATTGTAGAAAACCAATACCATGTTTTCGGCATGTGTATGGTCAGCCTGATCTCACAAGAAAACGTAAGTATTTTAGTGGCTAATTCATACAAATTCGCACAATTCATACAATCGAGTTCAGTCATACGAAATTGTACAATTTTAAAAAGGAGGCGTGGAACCTAACCCCACCCCTAACCGTCAATGAGGGGATGAGCAAATTGTACTAAATTGTACGAATTAGATTGTATGAATTCATACGAATTAGCAACTAAATCAAAAAGTTACGAATTGCTGTGGGATTGTCTTGGTCCGGTATAAGTTGAGTAAATTGTTCCTTGATCGGTTATTAATAATTAATAATATTGGATAAGTTGGGGGTTCATTCCGCTGTGGCAACCTCTGATGAATAAAGGGACTAAGCCAAAGGAAAATGAATGAATGAATGATGTCAGATCCAGCTAATGTTTTTTTTTACTACTACATTACACATTATATAAAAAAAATAGATATTTCCTGGTGTGTAGTTTCTGATTTGTAAAATTTCCCAGGCTGTTATTATCTTATGAATGCCCTTCCCTTTTCTAAGGCTATAAAACAGGCAGTGGAATGCATCATTTCACTTTTCATCCTAATTCAAGATGGATCTGCAAATCTCAGTTTTTCTTCTGTTTGTTCTTTTCACCACGGGTAAGAAAACAAATGGCTTAAATTTGATTGTACACAAATGAAGATCACTATATTTATCTTACAGTCTCTCTCTCTCTCATTACTGAAGGAGAATCTATTGACTGTTATGAGTGTGCAAGTGTAACAGATTCATGTGCAGACCAAAAGGTAAGAACATGTCCGGAAAGTTACTCCTGCTTCAGCTCAACATCGCGAACAGAACTTGGTAAGTTTCAGCATGAATTTAAACTTTAATTCAGTGTTATATTTGACATTAAGCAAAACTATTTCACAATATGCACTATATATTGCACAATATTGTTCTGTATTATAAAAGTACTTGTACAGTTTGTCCTAGGTTGCATTACTGCTCCAGAATGTTAGTTGTGTATAGGTTTAAACAGCCTGATCTCACGAAAAAAACTTAAGTATTTTACGTTTTCCCAGTTTAGTGGCTAATTCGTATGAATTTGTACGAGTTTAGTCGTATGAAATTGTACGATTTTATAAAGGAGGCGTGGCACCTAACCCCAGCCCTAACTGTCATTGGGGGATGAGCAAATCGTTCTAAATTGTACTAACTAGATCGTACAAATTCATACAAATTAGCCACTAAATCAAAAAGTTACGAATTGCAGTGAGATTGTGTTGGTTTAAAATAGCTGTTATGTCCAGGGTTGAGTTCATATTTAAGATTATGTTTATTTTTGTAGTGGAATGACATTAAAGCTCAACTTTACTTGACTTGAACAAATGTTTATGTTGCAAATTTGTCTTTTCTCTTCAGCTTTCCTGATTTCAAACATTTTCTATTTTGTCTTTATGTATAAAATGATGTTGCTATTTCTGTATCATTCGTTTTTTTTGTTTTAGGTGGAGTCCTTAATATTACAAAAACAAAAGTTAAAGGTTGTATCCTATCATATGGCTGTCTACCTGGGTACACAAACTTCAACAGTCTGAATGTCTCTTTTGTCTGCTGTGACACCAACCTCTGCAATGCCAAAGATGTTTCAGGTATTGTAAACGAATATCTATTAAAGTGTAAAACGTCTATCTTTTATCTAAGGGAATGCTCATTAAACATCAACAGGACATCCCATTGAAAATTATACAAATTAAAGGGATAGTTCACCCAAAAATTAAATTGTACTCACTATTTAGCCACCCTCAAGTGGTTCCAAACCAAGTTTCTTTGGTTGAACACCAAAAAAAGGTATTTTGAAGAAAGCCTAAAATCTCTGTAGTAGGAAAAATAAATGCAATGGAAGTCAATGGTTATAGATTTCCAACATGTTTTAAAATATCTTCTTTTGTGTTTAACAAAAGAAAGAAACTCAAAAAGGTTTAAAACAAAGATGAACAAATAATAACATTTTTGGGTGAACTATTCCCTAAAGTGAATGAGGCAGTTGTTTCATTGTTAATTTTTATATTTTATACAGAGCCTGCTGTAAATTCCAATTCTCTCATCCCCAATGCAATGCAATGTTACACTTGTTACGGACAGAACTGCTCAACAACTATCATGAGCTGCTCAGGGAATGAAGACCACTGCATAACAGTAACAGGTGAGATAGCTTAAAGTCATTTTTGTGTCAATGGGCCCTATCATACACCGGGAGCAATAAGACGCATGACGTGTCGGGCGCGATTTGTTGCCATTTTCAGACCAGCGCAAATCTAAATTTGATGTTTTGCACTAGTTGTTTAAACAGCAAACCCATTTGCGCCACTTGGTGGACTCATGGGTGTGCCGGTCTACAAAGGAGGTGTGTTTGGGTGCATTGTTGGCAAGTTAGGTATTTTGAGGAACTGAAATAGCTTGCAGAATTGACCAGCTCAGAGCTGCTCTAAAGTCCAGCATAGAGTGCATTAGTTATGCGCCTATGGAGGTCTAAACTTACTCATTGATTAATACACACAGGGTTTACAGCAATACACAAATCTCTTCACATATAAAAAAATAAAGGATTAAAAATTTTACGAAAATTTATATTTTCTACATTAGTATAAAAACACTGCCTACATGCCTTCTTCACCTCGGGGGAATTTTTCCAGTTTATTCATGACAATTTGCAGTAATAATTTTATTATTATCATTAGTATTATTATTATGCATATTTAGATTTGTTTTAATTAAAAACAAGCTTTGATTTGTCCACCTGTCATGTTTTGGACCATATGGGGCATAGCATGTGTGTTTGGATAGAACTTCGTTGTTATTGTTTATTTACTCATTTGCTGGAAATTAGAACTAAATTTAGAAATAATTTTGAAACAAATCTTTGTGCTTAACAAAATAAATGAAATATGTAGGGTTATGGATGTCTTCAGTAGAGTGTGTACACTTCACTCCACGAAAGTAAAGGAGTAAAGTAAAGAGTAAAAGTCAAAAGAAAGTAAAGAGGCTGAATGGAGGAGACTCATTCTTTATCCTTGTCTGTTTTCTCGCTAGTAAAGCGTTCAGTTTTTTTCTCATACAAAGTCCAGCATGTAAATAGAAAATGTGCCACGGTGCGACGCAACAAACTCAAAGATTTTACAGAAAGCTGGAGACAGGCAATCACATAGCATTTCCTTTTTTCAGCTATAGAAGTCAATGGTTCCAGGTATTCAGCTTTCTTCAAAATTTCTTCTTTAGTGTTCAGCAGAAGAAAGAAACTCATGAAAGTTTGTATCCATTTGAAGGAGAGTAAATAGCAGTGGTGTAATAAATCACAAATCTCACGGTTCAGATCACATTATGGATTTGGAGTCACAGATCGGACCATTTTTCAGATCAGCAATTATTTGGATGTTTCCATTTATTACAAAAACAGTACTGCAAGTAATTTAGGTTAAAAAAACAGAACTTAGAACCGGTGATTTTATTAAAAATAAAAACCAGGTTATAAAAATATATATATATATATAAATATAAATATATTTAAAATATATATATAAATATATATAAATATATTTATATATATAAATATATATAAATATATTTATTTATATATATATATATATATATATATATATATATATATATATATATATATATATATATATATGATTTTTTTTTCTTTTTTAATTATTTCCCAAATGATGTTTAACAGAGCAAGGAGATTTTCACAGTATGTCTGCGCTGGAGAAAGTCTTATTTCTTTTATTTTGGCTAGAATAACAGCATTTCCAAAATTTAAAAAACCATTTTAAGGTCAGAATTATTAGCCCATTTAAGCAATATAAAAAAAAGTTAACTAGTTAACCTAATTAACCTAGTTAAGCCTTTAAATGTCACTTTAAGCTGTAAGTGTTTTGAAAAAAATGTAATAATCTATTTTTTAAATAATTAATGATTCTTTAGATAAATTTCCTGTTTTATTTATCTACAATTTTCAAAGAATTTTTCAGTGGCACATTATTGATGACTGGTTGTTTCTACCTATTGGTTAAACAATGTAATTGCAACAACTTTCATTTTGAGCAATAAGTTTCATTAAACGATGGTTTTATCTTTATCATAAACATCAGTGTTTATATCTGAATAACAAACGATTATCCCAGTACTTCTGTGTTGTTTGATTACATATAACAAATGATTACATATATAAGAAATAATACTGGCTGAAAAATTACTTTAATAATAATGATAAACTTTCTTTCTCCAATGTCAATCATTTATAATTCAGGTTGCGTGGGTGTTTGAATTGAGATCCTGATCTTTTAATGATTACTTGTGCAGATTTACACAGAATGCATTAATGCAAGATAAACAAGTAGTGACAGAAAACACCTTTAATAAACTAAGAAACCATTTAGGTGCCGCCACAACGTTCTCCGTCATCATTATATTTTACAGAAAAGTCAAAAAGCTTTCATACACGCATTTTGAATGACGTGGGATTATTTCACATTGATTGGGATTAATCTATACATGATTTTAAAAAGTTATTAATCAGCGAGTCACCTAAGTGCTGAACTGTGGTTCATGATTCAAACAAATTAACTGTGATCCATTACAGTGAGTAATTTTCTTCATTTTGGGTGAACTATCCCATTAAAAATCAAAGAGACACAAATGACAAGGCAGGGTACAAGGGTAAAAGTGGCAAAAGTTAACGATTAAATGTTAAAGATTGTAATGTTATAATGTGTACATTTGAAACAATACTGTAATAGATGTAAACAGTGCTGTATCATTAAACTTAAATTTAACAACTTTCTTCTTTTTGTCAGATAATGTTGGAGGTCTACCATTTACTACACAAGGCTGTGCCTCTAAAGCTGTTTGTGATACCGCACTATCATATCGTGGCCGGAGCATCTGTTGTTCAGGGAATCTGTGTAATGGAGCTAAAAGTGAAACCCTGAATCTCCTGTTTCTCTGCTTTTCTCTGATCTCCTTCATCCTGATGCTCTGAATCCAGAAGATCAGATTCAATCAAATGTACTTTATATGTATGTATGTATATAGCTGGTAGTTTTGCAGTATTATACAATGCTCAGCATAAATGAGTAACACCCCTCACAGATCTCTCTTTTAAATTAATATTTTATATAAGATGCTTTACAGAAATATATCAGTGCATGTAGCTTAAATTTGACAGTACCAAAGCCAAAACCGGTACAAATAACAAAAAAATTTAAGACCACAATCCAAAAATTAGAACATACAAATAAAAATGTTGGGGAAAAATACTAAATAAAATTTTAATAAACGGGAAAAATCAAGAGAAACATAAAAAAATTTGTTTAAATGTTGTAGCTTGCATGCTTTTCCCAATAAATCAATTTAATTTAAATGTGTTATCCTTCTATTCCTAAAGATATTAGGTGACCAAACTCTTTTTTAACTGTTTAACGAAACAGTTTTGTTTAAATGAACAAAAAACATTGATTATATTCACTAAGAAATTGATAAAATATTCATTTTCAAAAGGGGTGCACTCATTTATGCCGGGCACTGTATTTAGAGCTCTGATGTTATGAATGAAAATTTAGCTCTTACATTGCAATCAAAGCTGTAAGTGTTAATAAAATGTTAAATACGATGTGTTATTTTACTGTTTTTGTCTGTAGTATCGCGATTTGTCTGTTATTTTGGTTGTGACCTGTATAAGAAGTAGGTATGCTCTAAAATGTTAGTAATTAATGAGAGCAGGAGTTAAAATAATGTGCGACGAAAGTTACAAAGAGATTTTCTCTAAGGCCGGACAACATTTACTTTCCAAGCTATAAGAGCACATTTGACATGCACTTCTTGATGGAGCTGCCAAATATCAAACGACTTTGTGGTTACCTATAGTTTGTGGTATGTGTTGCACAGGGCTCAACACTATTTTGTAGCAAGTGGTAAAGATTTTTACTTGCCCTGCCAAAATTTTCTCTGGCCACACACAGACACGCACACAAAAATAAACTGGTTATTTCTTAGACGAATAATAAATCAAGTGTCACAATACTGTAAATTAACTATTGTTGCATTCCATTAGTATTAGCTAAAATGTAACAAAACTTGTGCTAAACTAAACTAAATGGTGTGCTCACAGGAATATGACTAGCCCTTTAATCACCCCACCGAGAAAAAAAAAATGTTTGTATTGTGTTTGGATGTTTGGATTGCATTTCTGAACTCCTAATGTTGCTGGTTAACACATTCAATGCATTTTTCTTCAACACATCCCATCATTTCTAAAATATCAACCTCTACCAAATGGTTCATATGTCGGTTTATGGTAAACTCATCAGAGTTATTACATACAGTTGAAGTCAGAATTATAACCTTTTTATTTTTTTTTCACTTCTTTAAATATTTGCCAAATGATGTTTAACAGAGCAAGGAAATTTTACCAATATGTTTGATAATATTTTTCCTTCTGGAGAAAGTCTTATTTGTTTTATTTCGGCTTGAATAAAAGCAATTTAAATTTTTTTTTAAAAATTAAAAAAATTATTAGCCCCTATAAGCAATTTTTTTTTCTCGATAGTCTACAGAACAAACCATCGTTATACAATAACTTGCCTAATTACCAGGGCCAGACGGAATCTACGGACGTTTTTTGCTATTTCTGCTGAGAATTTTGGGAGTATCCAGCGGAGTATCATAACTTACACCTTAATATATTAAATCAAACGTAATAAATTACTGAATAAAAACTGAAATTCTGATTTACACATATACTCAAGTAAATAAACAAAATTAATAATGGGCTAAAAATCTGCAGAAATCTGCGGAATTCTGTGGAAAATATGCGGAATTCTGCGCGCACAGATTCCGTGTGGGCCTGCTAATTACCCTAACCTGCCTAGTTCGCCTTATTAACCTAGTTAAGCCTTTAAATGTCACTTTAAGCTGTATAGAAGTGTCTTGAAAAATATTAATTAAAATATTATTTACTGTCATCATGGCAAAGATAAAATAAATCCATTATCAGAAATGAGTTAATAAAACTATTATGTTTAGAAATGTGTTAAACAATCTTCCCTCCATTAAACAGAAATTGGGGAAAAAAATGAACAGGGGTGCTAATAATTCAGGGGGGCTGATAATTCTGACTTCAACTGTATATTATGAAAAATCTAAAAATATGAAGCCTAAGACCAATTTATTTAAAAATATATTCAAATTAAAACATTTTTGAATGTTAAATCACCTTTATTTTTGAAGTATGCCATAAAATATTTCAGATTCTCATTTAACATGTTTTCTTGTTTATATATATATAAAATGACAATGACAAATGACAATGGTAATTCTAGAAGTTAAGGAATTCTGGTAGTTCCAGTGTTAAATCACTTGTGCTTGTCAGAGAGAGTGAAGAAGATGTTTCCAGATGGTTAAAGACGACGGTTGGGGGTTCTGCTCTGTGAATCTCTGCTTCATTGTAATGTATTCAATAAAGTCTATTGTTCTGAGACTGAGCATGGTTAATTAACAGAATGGCTGGAAGCCATGACAAGGGCAGCCCCACAAGAAGTTTGGCCAGAGAAGAAAAGACCAAATGAGCCTGGTTTCTCTCAAGGTTATTTTCCCTTCACTTACATTAATTGGTGAAGTTCGTTCCTCGCCACTGGCTTGCTAGGCTTGGGACTTGTAGAGCTGCACATTGATTGATTTGCTTTTTAGTGTTTGACTTTCAGCAATGAAAATAAACCACACTGAACTGAACTGAACTTTAACTCTGAAAACTAAACTGACGCAGTTTCAATTTACGATAATCTTCTATGTGAAGCTGCTTTGACACATCTACATTGAAAAAGGACTGTAGAAATAAAGATGAATTGAACTGAATTGTGTGTGTACTTAAAAATGGTGTGGTGTAAAAATGTTTTTATGGCTGGCAATAATATTAATAATAAATATAGCTGCAAGCAGCAATTAAGGGGCCAAGCACTTTTGACCAAAAGGTGGCGCTGCTCCAGAAGTTTTTAAGGACTTTCAGGGCATTGGGGTTGAAGATGCATACCATGTTTTGTAATGATATGTGAATGTGTTGGTAAAATATAGCATTTTTGGCCAAAAATCGAAATGGGCGACGCCCAAAATGGCTGACCTGTGAAAATCAGACATCCGACTCATTCGACTCGACATGCTCTGCCGGATGTAATGACACCAGTTTTATGAGTTTGGGACGAAAGGTTGAGACGTTATAAGCCAAAAAGCAATTTTTTTGTATCTCCGGACCACTAGGGGGCAGTTCGCCGAAACTCTGCATGTAACCTCAGACCCTAGTTGTCATAACACATACCAAGTTTGGTGTGAATCGGTGAATGCGTTACGGAGATATCGTCTCAAGTCCATTTTTGCAAGTCCTTCGTTAAATTTGATCGCAAGTTAAACAAAAACGGTTGGTCAAATCAACTTGAATTCCATAACTTTTGGTTGGCATGGTCTGTAGATCATGTGATTAAATTTTGGTGATAATCGGAGAAACGGCCTAGGACGAGTTTGATCAAATAGGTTTTTCAAAAAATTTAAAATAGCGCGAAAAAATTCATGACGGAAAATGACGTCATAGGGTGCGTTTGAATCGGACTGAGCCAAGGAATCAGAGAAAAAAAGAAATTTGATTGTAGTACATTCGGTTCAAAAGTAATGATGATAAACGTATGTGAAAGTTTGGACAAGTGGTGGCGCTTGAGAGTTTGATTTTAAGACTTCATGTTTGGTCTGATTAATGTTAATACTGTGCTCTATCATTGTGCCAAATTATACAACTTTCCCGCATACGCCTATATGGGCTGCCATTCAAATCCAGCGGAAGAAACGGAAGAAGAAGAACACTAACGAAAGCAATAGGTGCCTACGCACCTACGGTGCTTGGCCCCTAATAATGTAAGACAACCGTTGTACCCTAAATGTGCACAGCCTTAATGAAAATAGAAAACGATTAGATTTTTCTTATGTTGGGGAGATTTTAAGAAAAAGTCCCCAAATGTATATAAGAGTAAAAACATATTGTTTTTCTGCTGTTAATATGAAAGAGGAGTCATTTTGATCTGATCAGCTGGAGGGTTAACACAAATACACTGCCTGCCTGGACAAAAAAACTAAAGAAAAACACCTTTAGATTTGCCTGCTTGATCTTTATACGTGTAATTCTTCAACTACGGGCACTTTTATGTCCTTTGGTCATACAGTATATCCAAAAATATGTATAGTTTTGTTCAAATTCCTCTTTCTTTGTCAAACTAACAATAAAACCTACTTTAAAAAAATTTACTGCCTTTCTGTTATATATTTTTCATATTATTCAACCTCCTTTTAGGTGTCAAAATCCCCATTTTCACCTTGTCGCACAGCCAGAGTTTTAAACTTCAACAATGACAATAACATTTTAAAATATTTATCTGGTATCTGTTCATTTATACAAAATATAGCTGTCGCACTGTCTCAGTGTCATTTCCACCACAAGACTGTAATGTCACTTTAAAAAGTTTGTGAAAGATTATTAAGGTGGTTTCTAATAAAATGAAGAGTGCCATCTGAGAGCATGTTCAAGATGGAGGAAATTTAAATTTTATTAACAACAGAAAAATCAAGGTTAATATTGCTTGATAAGGAAATACATTTATTCTATGTTATTTCCAAACATGCTGTACCTCCAAAGATGTTTTTAAAAACCAAACAAAATGAAATAAATAAGAGTGTTTTGTATACATGAAAGCCTGGTATTAATTCAAAGCTAATCAGTGAAGCTATTTTTCATTTTTCACAATAAACTGTTGAAATGTCAATTCCACCACTGTCATTTCCATCACCACACACATATTATAAAAATATTTAAAAAGTTCTCATCACACATTAAAAGTGTATTCACTATGTATAAGTTCATGCTCTATTTCATATACAAATTCAGTTTATTTATTTTCTAATAAGCTCTTAACCAATTTAATATATAATTTTAGAGCATGACAGGTGTACAATTCAGCACAACTAATTTATTACATTGACAAATGTTTAATTATTATATATTGTCTGGAAAGATTGGTTTAACTAAATACAAAAATGATCTTAGACAATGTTTGACCGCCATAATTTATTTCATTTTGAAATAAGCTGTATATTGAGATGCGCTGGAATTGACATTATTTCCGTTCACGACGGAAAAAAAAAAAAATCTCTTCTTATTTAAGTTTGTCCTCTTACAGATCTTAAAACTAGACAGATTGCTTAAACATATGAGGTTTTGTTACGTTAATTTTGAAATATTTATTTTACTTAACTTCACAAGGCTAAAAGTGCCCGTAGTTGAAGAATGGCCCACAATGATTATTCGTAAGGGAACAATCCGAAGCAATGTAAAGTTTATTCCCACCAAGAACTGCATTCCTTTGAGTGAGATCATGACAAGATTCACTATCTGACCACTCAGTAAAGTCTGTTTCAAAAATGTGAAGTTGGGGTCAACTGGATGTAAATTCACGTGTGGACACAAAGACTTCTTTCACTGTTTGAGCCCTGATCTTGCTTTGAAAAGACATCAGTGAGAGAGTCAATTCAACAGAACTATCAGTTTTAAAAAATATTTAGGAAGATATCACCTATGATATCTAATGATTTATTAAACCTTTTTAACAAACTGCCAAATAGATCACTTAGGTTTCTGAATCCAGAAACGCATTAAGGTTTTGTCAAACTTTCATTATCTCATAATCCACCTCCTTTGAAGCGTTATTAAAAAGACCCTCCCCTTCTGACAAGCTACAGAATGTGTGGTGAGGCGCACATGTTATTTCATTCAGCGGCTCATGCAAGATGGATCTGCAAGTCTCAGTTTTACTTCTTTTTGTCACTTTTACTTCAGGTAACAAAGTCAGACAGTGTTTGTAATATTACTGAATACTGAACACAAACACAGATCACTGATGTCTCTCTCTCTCTTTGCTTCACTAAAGGACACTCTCTCAGCTGTTACCAGTGTGACGATCTGATGGGTTTATGTAGATTTCAAACAGAAAGAACATGTCCCAGTGGATTGTCCAAGTGTGAAAGTGTAACAGTGGTAAGACAACTTGGTAAGTCTAATATGATGTATTGAATGTGTACTGTTGAATTTGATTGATGGAGATGCTGGTGTTATTTACTGCTGCTGCAGTGGAAATGTAACTTCTCATAGTACTACTGTGTGTTTTCCAGGAGGAATATATAATATTGCAGTCACACAATATTTTAAAGAGATTTCCAGCATTTTTTTTTCATTTCTACCAGACAATTAATGCTAAATGCTAACAAAACAATTAGTATTTTAAAAAATGCTAAATGTTCCTGCAGTTTTGTTGATCATAAATGGATCAATCTTGTTTTTAGGCACCACAAGTTTTACAGTAAAGGCTAAAGCTTGTTCTGCTGATTGTGCAAGTGGGACCATGAACTTTGGCATTTCACAGATGTCTTCTACATGCTGTAACAGTGACCAGTGCAACAAAAAAGATGCTCCAGGTATTTCTTAAGTTTATTCATGACAACTTGTTTTGTATAATATTATTATTATTAGCAGTATTAATTATTATATGCATATTTATATTTGTTTTATTAAAAACAAGCTTAGATTTGTCCACCTGTCAGGTTTTGGACCATATGGGGCATACAGTAGCATGTGTTTGGATATAACTCACTTTTTTGACCCACACTTCATTATTATAGTTCATTTTCATATTCGTTTGCTGGAAATTAGAACTGACTTTAGAAATTATTTTGAAACAAATCTTTGTGCTTAACAAACAAAATTAATTATGTAGGTTGATGGATGTCTGTGCATACAACATCGTTCCCTTATGCACGAAAGAGAGAAAGTGAAAGTAAAGGCCAATTGGAGGGGGCTCATTCTTTATCCTCACGCTGCAGATGCTCTGTTTAACTTGCTAGTGAAGCTTTCAATTTTTACAAAGTCAGGTATGTAAATATCAAATGCGCATGGCGTGACGCAACTAACTTTTAAAAGAAATGGGAGATGAGACTCTGATTGGTTTACACTCAAAACACACCCAGAACTCATTAAGTGAATAAGCACTACCCTGTTAGAGCATACGTCGCAGCGCAGAGCTTATTTTCCTATCCTAAAAATAGCAAAAGTGGATTCACCCTTAATGCCTTTGTGCCCTGCGTTTTTATCATTAAAATAAAGCCCAAAATATTTTATTCATTTTCGCATAAGTTTGATCACAAGCTTCAGTATAGTATACTAATCTAATGCATTTATATATTCTACAATGTGCATTTAAATAATATTGTCTATTATTACAGGGTTTCTGCATGCTTCAAGTCAAATCTAAGACTTTTTTCAACTCCATGAAGAATAAAATTTTAGACTTTCATAGGGGGAAAAATAATTTTTTAATGGCCCAGCAGTAATAAAAAAAAAAAAAAAAGATTTGCCCGATAAATTATTTCTTAGCCACATATTTTAAATAACATGTCAAAACAAGCAGACGGTAGTTGTGTACATACTGTGCTAATTATTTTTTCTGCATCACTTTAAAAAGCTCTTTAAAAACTTTAATAAAGTAAATAGACTGGTATAATGTTATAAATAGAGTTTTGCTAAACGTTTTATTGTGTGTTGGATCAATTGGGTAGCTTAAGACTTATACTTAAGAGCTATAAGACGATATTCAGTGAATTTAAGAATTTAAAATTTTGTTTTTGAAATGCATGAAATTTCAAGATTTTTAAGACCCAGGGTACAAGAAGCACTGCATTAAATTCCATTTCCCCCACTATGTCTTTAAAATATGGAAATTTATCTTACCCCCAGTATTTTTAATGGAGTTTTTGCGCTAGCCTGCTGCTACTCATGGTGCTTGCGTTTACACAGCCTATCATCTAGTTTTATTTTTGAAAAACTACATGAATGCTTAAATCTATATAACTGATTGTATTTTAATTACATTACATGATCGATGCTATATAAGAAACCTTATGAAATTGAAAATAGTCACATTAAGCTTTCACTGGAAGTTTATAGTTGGCTGAAAAGCACTAGCCACTGACTAAATGCAGCAGCTAAAGTAAATAAAGCAATACCTTTTGTTTTCCTGCTGTAGTTCCTAGCACTGGCACTCCTAATGGAAAGATGTGTTACTACTGTGATGAGAACAACTGCTTCAATGCTCTGAGCTACTCAGGGAGAGAAGATCACTGCATTACAGCAACAGGTGAGAATCTGAAAAAAAAAAATAGGATCATTGTTGTAATGCTTGTGTTTGATGCAAATCACAGTCCAAAATCCAGTTTAATTAAGCTTTTTTTTTTCCAGGGACTTTTGCAGGCGAGTCAGTGATTGTAAAAGGATGTGCCTCGAAATCTATCTGTGATGGCAAAAAAATGGGTGCATTTAAGAACTTCTCCTGTTGTTCAGGGAATCTGTGTAACGGAGCTAAAAGTGTCACTCAGAGCTTCCTGTTTCTCTGTTTTCCTCTGATCGCCTTCATCTTGATGCTCTGAATATTGGATTCAGTTTCTACAGTCTGACATGTTTTATACACAACAGTATAGCTTGCATTCTCTTTGGAGCACTTACTGTATGTGATGTTTTTGCTGTGATGGTCTGATGTAACATGTTGTATAATGACTCCAGTAATGAATTGAAGACTATTAGTTTAATATGGAATGACTATTCAGCATTCACAAGTTTAGTTTTTACTTTAATTTTGACTGACCTGACATAAGCAGATGATAATGTTATAAACAGCAGAGAGTTGTATGAAAACAATTGACGCATGTCTAAAAGCATTTACAATTTGTTGGAAGGAATGAGAAACTGCTACTATGATGTGCGCAAATGACTAATTGTTTTGAGAAATGCATGAACTGTTGTGCAAATGTAAAGAGTGTTGTGAGAAATGCACCAAAGCGACTGAGGAAAACTGTAAGAAATATTTATCTCAGCTCAAGCATCTGATAATACCGTATACTGTGCTTTATAAAATTCAAGAACACACAAAATATCTACTTTATAAGCAATAATAAACAGCTACCGACCTAATGACAGTGATACTTAATCTCTACTGAAGTGTTACCTAAATACTTTTTAGGAACTGTGAGTGGTTTCATTATTGGAAAGACAAACCCTTTCTTGGCATACTTTCCATTCAGAAATGAACTGGTTATTCCTGTATTACTTTTCTTTTTTGTCAGACATCCAGACAGAAATACAGTAGATAGACAAACAGACAGGCAGGCAGACAGACAAACATAGAGAGAGAGAGAGACAGACAGACAGACAGACAGGCAGGCAGACAGGCAGACAGGCAGACAGACAGACAGACAGGCAGGCAGACAGACAGACAGGCAGGCAGGCAGGCAGGCAGACAGACAGACAGGCAGGCAGGCAGGCAGGCAGACAGACAGACAGACAGAATTGGCGGACGCACGGACGGACGGACGGATGGGCGGACGGACGGACGGACGGACAGACAGACAGACAGACAGACAGACAGACAGGCAGACAGGCAGGCAGGCAGGCAGGCAGGCAGGCAGACAGACAAACATAGAGAGACAGACAGGCAGACAGACAGACAGAAAGACAGACAGACAGGCAGGCAGGCAGACAGACAAACATAGAGAGAGAGACAGACAGACATAGAGAGAGAGACAGACAGACAGACAGGCAGGCAGGCAGGCAGGCAGACAGACAGACAGACAGACAGGCAGGCAGGCAGGCAGGCAGGCAGGCAGGCAGGCAGGCAGGCAGGCAGACAGACAGACAGACAGACAGACAGACAGACAGACAGACAGACAGACAGACAGACAGACAGACAGACAGACAGACAGACAGACAGATAGATAGATAGATAGATAGATAGATAGATAGATAGATAGATAGATAGATAGATAGATAGATAGATAGATAGATAGATAGATAGATAAAGCTGTATTTACACAGGGCATTAAATGTCACTCAGAAATAATTATATGAGTAAATGTTCCTGTAAAAAAAAATTATCTAAAGCACAATTTGTTGCTTGTTTTAGTAATTACTCAAGTTTCGTATTGTAATCTAAATATGTTGCAATACATTTAAATATTTTTATGAATCTGGTTAATGAATGAATACAGTATGAAATAGTTTATTCATTTGTTAGGACACCTTAATTATTTTATTACATTTTAGAGTCACCAATTGCCATCGTCATGAACTGTCAATTATACTTTCCATTAATGCATTAAAAATGACATTAACATTCAAAATAAATCCCTTTTTGTAAGTATAATGAAACACAATCACTCATATTTTAGTATTTTATGGCATTCTTTTCTTTACTCCCCAGATCTGTATTTATTAAATCTTGTTGAGCTGTACTGAAGTCTTATGCAATATCAAAAATGAATAAAAGCATTAATATTTTATTTCATAAGTGATCAAGTATTACATATTTCAGCATCCCTTCTCCAAAATAGTTTTATAATAATAATAATAATAATAATAATAATAATAAAATTAATGTAATTATCATAATATCATAATAATATTACTATTTAATTTTATAAGTGATCAAGTACTTTCAATACTTTCAAAGTGAAGGCTGAAACCCATGATATTTTTTTACCGAAGTAACAATTTTCCTCATGTAACATTTTTTCTCATTATTTAAAATAAACCTACTGATTTAATTTGATCAACAAATGACTCAGACTACATTTTATATAACCTAGAGCTCCAAATAACAATCAAACAGATTCCAATCAATATTATAAATCAATAATACAATTCATGTCAGAATTTTTAACCCCCCCTGTTTATTTTTTCCCCAATTTCTGTTTAACAGAGAGATTTCTTCAACACATTAGTTCGAAACGGTTCACGGTTCGAAAACATAATAGTTTTAATAACTTATCTCTAATAACTGATTTTTTTTATCTTTGTCATGATGACAGTAAATAATATTTGACTAGATATTTTTCAAGACACTTCTATACAGCTTAAAGTGACATTTAAAGGCTTAACTAATTAGGTTAACTAGGCAGGTTAGAGTAATTAGGCAAGTTATTGAATAACAATGGTTTGTTCGGTAGACTATCGGAAAAAAATAGGCTAAAGAGGCTAATCATTTTGACCCTTAAATGAAAAAAAAAATGCTTTTATTCTAGCCTAAAAAAAACAGATAAGACTTTGTAAAGAAGAAAAATATTATAAGAAAATTCCAAGGGGGGTAATAATTCTGTCTTCAACTGTATTTTGCGATGAATAAAAATAAGTAAATAAATAAAAATCAACTTGCCAATACAAATTATATTTGCAAAAACATTTTTTCACATTTGCCTTCATTTGCACATCATATACTCAACCTTTCATTATGATATTTTTCTCATGCTGATGATTCGGTAAAAATACACTAAGTACAAAATTAGGCTAACACTGTAAATACATTAACTTCTCAATATGCCAAGTGCAGCAAGATTGCATCTGCAGTGGCATTCTTTCATACCAGACTCAGACATCAGCCAACTTACATTACTGAAAAGGGTTCGTCCTCGTTCTTTGGAACAGAAATGTTTTTACTAAACATCCGTGTGGGTTTTTTTATTTTATATTTCATATGACCTCGATAAGGTAATTATTAAAACAAAAGTGCTCTATGTTTAAAAAGTTGAAAAAAAATCTCATGAATAATAATATCACCAGATTCCGGACATCAAGTATGTGCAGTCAAACCACTGCAGATGATGCAAAATACAGCAGCACAATAAGTGCACCACAATGAACTAAAAGCATGCAAGTGGCTTTAATTGTCAAGGCAATTTCATTAAAATACACTTTTGTTATAGTTTACATAATTGTTCTCAGAATTCTGAATTGACATATTGGCATGGCATATTGGAATTGGCATGTCTGATTTGTTTATCGAAATTGAGATGAGATTTTGATGTCTTTTTTCTTAGAATTCTGAAATTACTGAATTATTATTAATTATTTATTTTTGTCTTGTTACATTTTGTGCTCAGAATTCTTAATTAACATAATTAACATAGTTAAGCTTTTAAGTAAAGTTTGTTCATAAACTAATTTTGAGAGGATCACATGCTTATCATTGACCGCTGCTAGTCCCGCATTAGCTAATCCATGATTCACCAATCAGATGATTCTTAACTCATTATAAATACCCAAAGTTCCTTACCTTAGTCATCTCCGGCTTGAAAAATCCCCCCTTCCACCCCTATTCCTCCTTTCTTTTCCTCGATAGGGTAGCACAGCGCCCCAGTGGTTAGCACTGTTGCCTCACAGCAAAAATGTCACTGGTCCAAGTCTCTAACAGGCCAGTTGACGTTTCTGTGCAAAGTTTAGGCGTTCTCCCCATGCTCTTGTGGGTTTCCCCCAGGTTCTCCAGGTCCTCCCACAGTCTAAAAACTTGCGACATTGGTGAACTGACCTACAGGTTAGTGAACTGACCTATTAGGTTAACTAATCACCATAGACGAGCTCTTAATCAGCAGTATATATCTCTAAAGCAATCCCTAATTTGTCATTAGCCATAAATAGCAGGGGAGTTCTCAAAATCTACCTGAGCTCAAACTCCCCTCTCGCCCTGCAAATTGGAGGGAGCCCAGGGCTCGAGGATCTTATGAGCTCAGGGCTCTCTCCCAGGACAGCATCCCAAACACGCTTTTTAATCAATCATTAGCTAAGTGTGAACTCTTGAAATGTCACTCATCAGTTATCAGTTATCAGTTATTAAAACTAAAATGTTTGTAATGTGTTGAAAAAAAATGTTTCTGCTTAAAAGAAATTAGGGGAAAAAATACAGGGGGGGTAATAATTCAGGATATATATTTTGCCTAACAGATAAACATATTGAGAACAAAATGTCTGCTTTCAAATAAACCAATTCATATGGAAAACAAAAATTCTCCAATTATGTAATTCATCTGAAACATGCAGGTGCATGCACGATCCCAGAGACAATGATCGAGTCAGTGTCTCTCAGTGTTGCCAACTATTTGGTAACTAAATGGCACTAAACTCTGCTCAAAAAGTCACTTCAAGAGTTCACTCGTTCCTAGTTGATGATTTATCATAAGCTTGTTTGGCATGCTGTCCCGGGAGAAAGCCTTGAGCTCAAGGCATCCTCGAGCCAGAGCTCCCTCCTGTTCGCAGAGCGAGAGGAGAGACTGAGCTCAGGTAGATCTCAAAAACTCGCCTGCTGAAGTGGCTAAGGTGAACTATTTTGAAAAGGAAAGATTGTGATGCTGGGACCTAGACAAAGGGCCCGTTTGGCTTAGTCTGTTAATTATGACGCATTTTAGGGTAAGCGTTTTTTGAGTTATTGCCGTCTATAACTGAAAGTGTGTCAGGAAAATCGAAAACAAAACCAACTGAAGCGCGCTCATTTCTGGCGCCCCACTGGACATACAGCGCCCTAAGCATTTGCCTATGGTGCCTATGCCACGGGCCGGCCCTGAGTTGGGTGAGTGTTGTAAATAACGGCGCTCACCTCCCTCGGGACAGAGCGCATAGGAGATAAATGACGTCACTACATAATAACCGGTTATGGTTATTACTGAAACGATACCGAATTGTCCGCGTCTGCATCGCGGTGCACTGAAGAAACAATTAATTTTGACACCCCTATTTTAAATCCCTCCATGGCCTGGCCCCTGATTATATTTCTGAGCTAAATATTATACACCAACCTGTGAGGTCTCTTTGATCTAAGGATTGTCTCTATTTGATAGTTCCACAATCACGCTTAAAAGCTTTAGCTGGCTTTACCTTTTAATCATGTGATGTGAGTTTATGTATTTTGGTTTTGTGTATATTTGCATGTGTTTTATGTATAGCACTTTAGTACCCGTTGGTTTGTTGAAAGTGCTATAGAAATAAAGTGAGTTGAGTTGAGTTGAGTTTACGTATACTTGTTTGCTTATTAGACTATGTAAGACTCATTATTATGATGAATATTAATAAATGTTTGAGTAGTCGACTAATGCATGACTTCTTGCGTTCTACTTTGCTCCAATTTAGTTGCCAAGTCTTTTGCAGTTCTAGTTTGAGGAAGTGTTTGATGTTTTGCCATTGTATTTTCCCATTTCTTCTTTAAACAAACATTTGTACTCTACTGTCTGCCTAAGTTATCACTCAGCGTCTGCACTTTCTGTTTAGTAGCATTTCTGACAGCTTTTCACACCCATTGCACTTGCAAAACAAACCATCTGAGTTCTGAGTGAAGGGGGAATGTGATAGTCCTTTCCTGATTACATACCATCAACTTTACTTTAACCAGATTCTAATGTAGCTGCAGTTCCCAAGAAACCCCTCAAAAGGAAATAAGACGTCTGGCCTAAATGAATTTCCTTGTTAGTAGCTGCTGGTCTAACAAGTCGATCGAGATAGCTGAAAACTAATGTTTATCTTTTACTACTTAAAGACATTTATATAAAACCATGTAGTTATAAACATAGCAAATGTACAATGATTAATTATTACAAAATGCAGCAGCCAGAGTTCTTACCAGGTCTAGAAAATACGATCATATCACTCCAATTTTATCCTCCTTACACTGGCTGCCTGTTAGGTTTCGTATTGAATTTAAAATATTACTTCTCACCTATAAAGCTTTAAATAATCTAGCTCCTGTTTATCTAACCAACCTTCTGTCTCGCTACAATCCAACTTGCTCTTTAAGATCTCAAAACTCAGGGCTTCTGGTAGTACCTAGAATAGCAAAGTCGAGTAAAGGAGGTCGAGCCTTCTCCTTTATGGCTCCTACACTCTGGAATAGCCTTCCTGATAATGTCCGAGGCTCAGACACACTCTCCCAGTTCAAAACTAGATTAAAGATCTTTCTGTTTAGTAAAGCATACACTCAATGCATCACTTAGCGGGTTCCACACAGGCTTCTGCATCTTGTTTATATACAGTACACTATGAACAACAGCTACGCTAATTATTCTCTCTATCCTCTATTTCCACGTGTCGATACTCATCCCGAGGTCCTCAGATTATGTGGAGTCACTGATTGGATCCAAGACCAGCGACGAGATGATCCCAAGGTTTCCATATCCGGGACCAGGCCGTATCCTGAGCTGCTGCTGCGCTGGTGGTCATGGGGAGTGGAGAACATGAGTCTGATTCCAGCGACGCTCCAGGTGTAACAGGTATGAAAATTATTATTCGCTTTAAGTATAGAATTACACAAAATATGTATTTTATCTAATGTGTTAGTAAGTGTACCTGAGGTGTTTGTTAGTGTGTGTCTTTTCCTTTAAATTTCTAAGGGAGCTCACGCTGTTTAATTTCCTGTTTTGCGCCCGCCTCTTCCCTTTCTGCACTGACTATGCATGGGAGAGGTGGGTGTCTGCTAAGCTCCAATTAATCTTTAATCATCTTTACTTTATAAATAACTTTTAAAGCTAGTTTTCATGTTTAAATAATATTTATACCTTTATTTTTCACATATATTTCATTATTTTTGTGTTATCACTTAAATGGAGGTTTTGATTAACTTTAGCCTAACTGAAGCATGTGAATGCTAAAATGCATTGCACTTTTAACAGAAAAGCTGTAAGGGCGAAGACACACTGTAAAAGCTGTGCTTTTTGATTTATTCTCAGGTATGTTTTGTCACTTTGTTAATATTGTTTGGAGTTTTGTTCTATCTTTCTCTTCATCTCTTCCCTTTCTGCACTGACTATGCATGGGAGAGTGAGTAAAGAGCCGTCACAACTGCAGATTTCCGACTGGTTAATCCTAAATAAAACAAAGAAAACACAACGCAGAACCGGTTACACAGGGACAGACGAGTCTTTGCTGAGGCCAGCTTCCAGCCTCCACCGCAGTGACTGAAGCTCTGCACAAGACTTTTGGCCAGCGGAGAAATTAAAATGGTCGTGCCCAACTGAGTCTGGTTCTCTCAAGGTTTTTTTTCTTCAATCTCCTATCAGGTGAAGTTTTTTTTTCCCTCTCCGCTTTCGCCACTGGCTCGCATGGTTCAGGATTGATAGAGCTACGCATCTATGAATTTGCTCTTCAGTGTTTGAACTCTCAGTAATGATTTTAAATCACACTGAACTGAGCTAAACTGAACTGAACTTAAACACTAAAAACTGAACTACACTGTTCCAGTTACTATGACCATTTATGTGAAGCTGCTTTAACACAATCCACATTGTAAAAGCGCTATACAAATAAAGCTGAATTGAATTAAGAGTGCGGCAACTTGTGGCAGTAAAAGTCATCAGTAGGCCCACATGGAATCTGCACATGCAAAAATAAGATTTCCACAGATGTATATCGCATCATTCAGTCTATTTATTTACTTGCCACAGCTATATCACCCTGCAGCGCAAGACTGGCAACTAACTGAAGCTAAGCAGGGCTGAGCCTGGTCAATACCTGGATGGGTGACCCGATGGGAAAGTTAGGTTGCTGTTGGAAGTGGTGTTAGTGAGGCCAGCAGGGGGCGCTCAACCTGCAGTCTGTCTGAATCCTAATGCCTTAGCAAAAGTGAAGGGGACACTATACTGTCAGTAGGCACCATCTTTCAGATGAGACGTTAAACCGCGGTCCTGACTCTCTGTGGTCATTAAAAATCCCATGGCACTTCTCTTAAAGAGTAGGGCTGTAACAGTCACACTGTAACCCCAGAGTCCTGGCCAAATTCCCTGCATTGGCCCTTACTAATCGTTGACTCCCAATCATCCCTATCCAACGAATTGGCTCGATCACTGTCTCTATACTCCACCATTAGCTGGTGTATGATGAGCGCACTGGCGCTGTTGTTTTGTGGCTGCCATCGCATCATACATGTGAATGCTGCTCACTGGTGGTGGTGTGGAGAGACCCCCCTCATGACTGAGAAGCGCTGTGGGTGTATGGCCATTCACAATAAAATGCGCTATATAAATACACACATTACATTACTTGTGTAAATTTATTTTATTCAGTTTTTAAATTAAATTCAGTAATATTATAGATTAATATGAAAATGTTCATTTGATTTAGTTACAATACAGTTTGTAAAGTAATATTTTCTGCCGTTTAGTGAATATATTATATAAGAGACTCGCTTTGTTTACCAAATAAGAGGATGTAATTGAATGTAAACAATAAACAAAAGTTTAAAAGGTATTATTTTTTTATTTTGTATATTACAGTTTTAATTACAATACTCCCAAAATCATTCCGCACAAATATGCAGATTTTTTACAAAATTCTATGCAGAAAAAGCAAAAAATGTCTGCAGATTCTGTCTAGCCCTAGTCATCGACAACATTTACTGTGCTTCTTATTATCATATCAAACAGAAATAATCTTTTTTATTTACACTGCTGATTTTAGCAGTTTGGGCAAAGAAAAGAGTACTTAAAGGCTTACGATTCAAAAAGAAATAATAATTTTTATGTACACTGTTTTTTTTTTCTCAGTCTATGCAAGAAAATGGTGTAACTAAAGGTATTTACCTTAAAAAGAAATTAATCATTTTATGTACAATGTTTGTTTGATTTTTGTCACAGTTTAAACAAAAAAACAGTGTACTTAAACGCTTTTAAGTCTAAAAGGAAATAATCATAGGTATAATGTTGTTGTTTTTTTTGTTTTTTTCAAAGTATAAACCAGGAAATGGTGTACTTAGAGGCTTATAATTTCAAAAGGATATAATCGTCTTTAAGTACAATGTTTGTTTTTTGTTTTTTTTTTTGTTTGTTTTTTTGGCACAGTCTGAGCAGGAAAATGGTACTTAGAGGCTTTTTATTACAAAAGGAAATAATCATTCTTACATAGACTGTGGTTTTATTACAGTTTAAGCAAGAAAACAATGTCCTTAGAGGCTTACCTAAGAGATGGTTCACTCATAAAAATAAAACTTTCCAAGGTTCATCCAGATATGGAAATTCTGTCCACTTTTACTCGTCATGATCTTGTTCCAAAGCTCCAAGTCTTTCTTTCATCTGCGGAGCACAAAAGAGAAATTTTAGGCCAAATGACATTGAATCAGTAAATCAGTAAAATAAACATGACTGTATTAAAAAAAATATTGAAACAAAATCCTTAATATGTCTATTTTTGTTGATGAAAATGGAGTGGTTTAGGCTAAATTTTACATATCTTAATGAAAGTTATGATAATTAGCAAAAACATATTCTGAATAGTTATTATGAATGATTACAATCTTATTATTATCATTTTATTACATTAGTCAGTCAGTAATTTTCATTGTTATTAATAGATTTATAAACCATTGTTAGTGTTTAAGTATTTGACTAAAAATTGTATAATGGTATAAAGGAAGAATATTCATACCAGACCCACAGCTAAATTTGATAAATGTTAAATGTATTCATTAAAAATTTACTTTAAATACAGTAAATAATAATCAATTATTTCAAATCTGGTGCGTATTGAACTCTTTATTTAAAACTTTCTTTTTCAGTCACACCCTTTTTCACACCCTTTTTTGCATACTCTTAAGTCTCGCCTCTTTTGATAAACTATAAAATGGGCAGTAAAACAGAAACATCAACTCATTCTCCTCCTGATCAAAGATGCATCTGCAAATCTCAGCTTTTCTTTTATTTGCTCTTTTTACTGCAGGTAAAGGATGAACTGCTTGAATTGAAATTCAAATACAGATCACTAATGTCACTCTCTCACTAATATCTTTCTCCTTTTTTATTACTAAAGGACACTCTTTATTCTGTAATCAGTGCCCGGGTCAGCAGAGCTCCTGTGATCAGATACCATGCCCCAGTGGTTTTTCCAGCTGCTTTGCTGCAACTGCATACGCAAGTAAGTTCAGTGTAATGCATTGAGATTTGCTGCTATAAATGACTGATGGAGATGCTGATATAATTGAATGGTGCTGTAAAAGTATTCATGTAAATTATGTTCAACTTTTTTATTAAATATACCTATTTACTATATAACTGCAGGTTAATCATGCCTTTATATAATAACTTTAACTGTTAAAAGGTATAAGTGATTAATAAAGTTATTGTAACTAATAATTTTAACTTTTCTGATCTTGATTATATTGCAATAATGTGCTCCTGTAAAGCTGCTTTGAAACGTTCGAGGTTACAGAAGTAACCCTTCGTTCCCCGAGGAGGGGAACGGAAGTGCCATGAATGGGAGGATTCGGATCAGAAGCCGCTTATCTGGAGAGTATTGAACGGGCCAATGAATGAAATTAATTGGCAGCGTAAGCTTGCGCAGGTGTGCGACATCTGCAATCATCTCAGCATATAAGCACACCTGAAGCCAGCAGACGCCATCCTTTTAAGCTGAAGAGACTTTCAAACAGCTAAGGGACAGTCATTATGGCGACGGAATATGGCACTTCCGTTCCCCTCCTCGGGGAACGAAGGGTTACTTCTGTAACCTCGAACGTTCCCCTTCGGTTGGGGAACTTCAGTGCCATGAATGGGAGAATATGGAAAGCGCCATAATGACTGCACCTTACCAACACCCCCGATGAGGAGATAGTCAAGCAAGCGTGACGCACCCACATCATGGGGGGCGCGGTCCTCCAACGTGTCCCTGGCCCTAATTTATCCTACTTCAACAGAAGTTTTACGGATTTAGATATATTTTTTGGGAAGTCGTGAGCATCTAGATAATTCTAGGAAATACGACAGTACGTTGGGAAGCGTGCAATCCCGATAGGGAGGACGCTGCGGAGGCCATCCGTTACCCAAGGGGGGGATAGATGGCAGAATTTACCTATGGACTAGCCCTAAAAAGGGGGAGTACGCATAGCAAAGAGTGGTTAGCGGAGAGGGAAGACACGGGTCCGCCCAGGGGGGGGACTTAACCGTGGCGGAATAAGCATATGGGATCGCCTAGTGGGGATCACGCATAGCAGGCACCTATACCCAAAACGCGGGCTGACCAGCGGGCAGACCTACAACGTAGTGGGCCAGCAAGTGACTCCTCCGCTGAGTCAGTGCTGGGGGCCACGGAGGAATCTGCAGGGCTCACCTGACGGGGAACTTTACTGACAGATAAAAAAGGCGCACGTACCTCCGTGTTAGGGAGAATGGCGCAGCAAGCGTGTTTCAACACCCTACCGAGTTGTCTCCTCAATCACCAAAGGGTTACCTAATACCCTTGAGGAAACCGTCTCCACTCGCAGATTGTAAAACCTTGCAAATGTGTTGGGTGTCGCCCAGCCCGCAGCTCTACAGATGTCTGTTAGAGAGGCGCCGCGTGCACGCGCCCAAGAGGATGCAACGCTCCGAGTGGAGTGTGCACGTACTCCCGGGGGACACGGCTGACCTCGACTCGAATAAGCGAGTGAAATGGCATCCACAATCCAGTGGGATAATCTTTGTTTCGATACGGCACTTCCCTGCTGCCGACCGCCATAACAGACAAAGAGCTGCTCAGATGATCTAAAATTCTGAGTACGGTCCACATAAATGCGCAGAGCGCGAACTGGACAAAGTAAAGAAAGGGCTGGGTCTGCCTCCTCCGGGGGCAGCGCTTGCAGGTTCACTACCTGATCTCTAAAGGGGGTGGTAGGAACCTTGGGCACATAACCGGGGCGGGGTCTCAGGATAACGTGAGAGTAATCCGGCCCGAATTCCAGGCACGAGTCACTGACCGAAAATGCCTCCAGGTCCCCGACCCTCTTGATGGAGGCCAACGCAACCAGCAGAGCTGTCTTCAGGGACAGAAATCTTAGAGATACTGATTCGAGTGGCTCAAAGGGATCGGATCGCAGACTCGTGAGAACGAGGGCGAGATCCCAAGAGGGCATGAGAGGGGGGCGAGATGGATTAATTCGCCTAGCACCCCTAAGGAACTGGATGACCAGGTTATGCTTTCCCACGGTGCCGCCAGCTACCGCGCTATGATAAGCGGAGATGGCGGCCACGTAAACCTTGAGAGTGGAGGGCGACAGCCTGCTGTCCAACTTCTCTTGAAGGAAAGAGAGCACAACACTAATCTGGCAATTTCGGGGGTCTTCTCTGCGAGAGACGCACCATTCAGTGAATAGACTCCACTTCAGGGCGTAGGCGCGCCTCGTGGAGGGGGCTCTAGCCTGAGTGATGGTATTAACCACCGCAGTCGGTAGGTTACCTAAGTCTTCCTCGCGTCTAGGGACCACACGTGGAGGTTCCAAAGATCGGGGCGAGGGTGCCAGATGGTGCCCTGTCCCTGAGAGAGTAGGTCCTCTCTCAAAGGGATCCGCCAGGGGAGGGCCGTCGCGAGGAGTGAGAGCTCTGATATCCAGGTCCGGTTGGGCCAAAGGGGCGCAACTAGCAGAACCTGTTCCTCGTCCTCCCTGACCTTGCACAGAAACTGCGCGAGCAGGCTCACTGGGGGAAACGCATACTTGCGCATGCCCCGAGGCCAGCTGTGGGCCAGTGCATCCGTGCCGAGAGAGCCCTCGGTCAGGGAAAAAAACAACTGGCAGTGAGCATTCTCGGGGGAAGCAAACAGATCGATCTGGGCCTACCCGAATCGCGCCCATATCAGCTGAACAGACTCGGGGTGGAGTCTCCATTCTCCAGGGCGTAACAGCTGTCGTGAGAGCGCATCGGCTGCACGATTGAGCGTGCCTGGGACGTGAATGGCGCGCAGCGATTTCAGCCGCGGGTGACTCCAGAGGAGCAGACGGCGGGCGAGCTGAGACATGCGGCGAGAGCGCATACCCCCCATGCGGTTGATATACGCCGCCGCCGCCGTACTGTCCGTCCTGACCAGCACGTGTTGCCGCTCCAGCACCGGTAAAAAGCGGTGTAGAGCGAGGAACACTGCCAACAGCTCTAGGCGATTGATATGCCAATGCAGCTGGGCACCCTTCCAGAGGCCCGCAGCCGCATGCCCGCGACACACGGCCCCCCAACCCGTGTTGGAAGCGTCTGTTGAAACAACAACATGGCTGGACGCCTGTCCTAGAGGCACACCGGCCTGTAGGAACGAGGGGTCGTTCCAAGGGCTGAGGGCGCGGCGACACAGCGCAGTAACCGAGACCCGGTGTGTGCCAGCGTGCCATGCGCGTCTGGGGACCCGATCGTGAAGCCAGTGCTGAAGTGGTCTCATATGGAGCAACCCGAGCGGCGTGACGGCGGCTGCGGATGCCATATGCCCCAGGAGCCTCTGAAAGAACTTCAGTGGGACCACTAGTTTGCTGTCGAGCTCCCTCAGACAGTTCAGCAACAGGCGAGCGCGTTCCTCGGAGAGGTGCGCTACCATGGTGATCGAGTCCAGCTCCATCCCGAGAAAAGAAATCCTCTGCACGGGGGCGAGTTTGCTCTTTTCTCGGTTGACCTGAAGCCCCAGTAGGCGGAGATGCCGAAGCACCTCGTCCCTGTGCATAATCAATTGCTCCCGCGAGTGGGCTAAAATCAGCCAGTCGTCGAGATAACTGAGTATGCGAATGCCCGCGAGCCGAAGGGGCGCTAGGGCACCCTCCGCGAGTTTGGTGAAGACCCGCGGAGACAGAGAGAGCCCGAAGGGGAGGACCTTGTACTGCCACGCTCGACCCTCGAACGCAAACCGCAGAAATTGGCGGTGGCGTGGAAGAATGGAGACATGGAAATACGCGTCCTTCAGGTCTATGGCTGCATACCAATCCCGAGGACGAACGCATTGGAGAATGCGCCTCTGCGTGAGCATTCTGAACGGCAGCTTGTGCAGACAGCGGTTCAAAACGCGCAGATCTAGGATTGGCCGTGACCCACCGCTCTTTTTGGGTACGATGAAGTATGGGCTGTAAAACCCACTCTCCATCTCGGCTGGAGGAACCGGCTCGATTGCACCCTTCGCCAGGAGGGCAGCAATCTCCTCTCGCAAGACAGGGGCGGACAGGGGGTTGACCCTGGAGAAATACACGCCCGTAAACTTGGGGGGCCGTTTCGCGAACTGAATCGCGTAACCGAGTCTGATTGTGCGTATGAGCCACCGCGAGGGGCTGGCCCGCGCTAACCAGGCAGGCAGAGCCCTCGCTAATGGAGTCACCGCTACAATCGCTGACGTACCAGCGGTGGGGCAGCGCGGAGTGGGTGTGCTGATCCGGGAAGCACGAGGGTCCCGCGGAAAAGCTGGAGGAGAGCGATTCGCTCTGGCTCCGCACCCTGACTCCGGAGAGGGGGCTGGAGGGCTGAGGGAAGGGAGACCGTCCCCCCAGCGCTCGTGAGCCACTGGCGAAGCACGTAGAGTCTGTGAGCCGGAAGGCAGCGCGTCCCGGACTGGCAGAACTCGTGCAGTCACATCCGGGGAAGGGAAAAAGTGCTCTTTTACTGATGTTTTGGTGGCACTGAAAAGTACCGTTGTTATCGGGGCCCCGCCCTCCAGCGGGGAAAGAGCAAGTTTCCTCCTCTCCGGATGGCCTGTCTCAGGGACGCTTCGCGGTCCGTTTACCGGACTTAACGGCGCCCTGGGCAGGAGGGGCTGCCTGCTTTCGAGGTGAACGCCACGCCCGCTTGGCCGGAGGCGCAGGCGGGGGCGGGGCAGCACTCGTTGGCGGGCGCCCTCGGCGAGGAACAGCGGAGGTGGATGGCTCGGCGGGCGGAGCGGGCTTACGGCCACGCCGATAGATGACATTGCCCATCGCATCCGACTGCTCTTTCACCGCCTTGAATTCCTGGGTGAATTCACCGACGGTGTCGCCGAACAGGCCAGCCTGGGATATGGGCGAGTCAAGAAAGCGAACTTTGTCAACGTCGCGCATATCGGCCAGGTTTAGCCAGAGGTGGCGTTCCTGAACCACAAGTGTGGACATCGTCCTCCCCAGCGCACACGCGGCGGACTTAGTAGTCCGAAGAGCATAGTCGGTCGCGGTGCGCAGCTCATGTAATAAGCTTGGGTTGGACCCGCCCTCGTGCAGCTCGGCCAGCGCCTGCGCTTGGTAGCGCTGGTAGGTGGCCATCGCGTGCAAAGCAGAAGCAGCCTGGCCCGCAGCCTTATAAGCTCTGGCTCCGAGGGAGGCAGACAACCTACAGGCTTTGGACGGGAGGCGGGGCAAACCCCGCCACGTAGAGGCGCCGCGCGGACAAAGATTGACCGCGATAGCGCGCTCCACTGACGGGATCGCCTCATACCCCCTGGCAGCTCCGCCGTCAAGGGCGGTGAGGGCGGAGGCACTCGCAGCACGGGCAGAGAAAGGTGCCCTCCAGGACTGCGTGAGCCTACTGTGCACTTCCGGGAAGAAGGGGACGAGAGGCTTCGAAGGCTTCGCCTTCTGGTCCTCTACGTAGCACCCATCTAGTCGGTCCGGCCGCGGAGCTGGGGGATAAACCATCTCCAACCCCACGGCCGAAGCAGCCCGGGAAAGCACGGCTAACATGTCCGCTTCAGGATCCGATTTGACAGCGCTCACCTGCCCAGAGGGGGCGAGCGGGTCCGGATCTTCGTCGGACAGTGAAAGCCCACCCTCCGATGCCGCGGAGGACATCTGATCTCCGGTGTCAGCGAGTGTGAGAGCTACCATCTGGTTAGACGGATCACTCTCACCACCCGAAGCTTGGATGGAGCGCCGTGAGGAGCGAGAGGTCCGCGAGCCCGTGGGCGGCGGATTAGCTCCCGCTGAAACCCTCAGATCTGCCCGAGCGCCCGCTGCTTTTTTAGAACAGGAGGCAACTGGGGTGGCTCGCTCTCTTGCGAAAGTTAGCCGCGATCTTAGCTGTGCAACGGTCATGGCATCGCAATGACGACATGAACCGCCCGCGAGCACCGCATTAACATGCTGGACCCCCAAACATGCAATGCAGTGATCGTGTCCATCATCCGGAGACAGGAAACCCCCGCATCCAGAAACGCACAGTCGGAGCGCCATCCTGAAAAGGACGTGCTGCACGACTGTGTTGCTCTTTTAGGAAAGTTGCAACTATACGCACCGCTCTGGAGGACCGGACCCAAAGAACCGCAGGCAAGGGAGTAACCCAGCTCGACCGTCTGCCACCGCGAAGACCCACTCTGGACCGGGAGACACACTCGTTCGCTCTGAAGTGCTGATCAGCAAGAGGAACCCTCATCGACTCACTCAGAAAGGATCTGAAGCGAAAAGGATGGCGTCTGCTGGCTTCAGGTGTGCTTATATGCTGAGATGATTGCAGATGTCGCACACCTGCGCAAGCTTACGCTGCCAATTAATTTCATTCATTGGCCCGTTCAATACTCTCCAGATAAGCGGCTTCTGATCCGAATCCTCCCATTCATGGCACTGAAGTTCCCCAACCGAAGGGGAACAATAATTACTGTGAAAAGCGCTATACAAATGAACTTCAATTGAATTGAATTGAAAATAATATGTTCAATATAGATTCCATTTTTTGATTCGATGTGTGATTTCAACTTTTTAAAATGAAAACAAATCCCAATTCGCTTTGTTTTAATCTGCGATTTGTTTTTTTATGTTCAAACTACATGATTTTCTTTTACAATTAAATAACATGAAGTTGCAACATAGGCTCATTTTGAAAACGTAGCCCTATATATGTTTCTGGAGACCGCAAATTATGTAGCCAGAAGTATGTTTGGCTGCATTCCGTTTTTAAAACCAACGCTATTTACGAATATTTTTTCCAAATGACGTCTAACAGAACAAGAAAATGTTCACAGTATGTCTGATAATATTTTTTCTTTTGGAGAAAGTCTTATTTATTTTATTTCGGCTAGAATTAAAGCATTTTTTAATTTTTTTAAACCCATTTTAAGGTTAATATTATTAGCCCCCTTAAGCAATATTGTTTTTCAATTGTCTACAGAACAAACCATCGTTTTAAAATGACTTGCCTAATTACACTAACTTGCCTAATTAACCTAGTTAAGCCTTTAAAGGTCACTTTAGGCTGTATACTAGCATTTTGAAAAATATCTAGCCAAATATTATTTACTGTCATCAGTAGCAAATCAGTTATTAGAAATTTAAACTATTATGATTAGAAATGTGTTGAAAAAAACTCTCTGTTAAATTGAAATTAGGGGAAAATATACAGGGGTGCTAATAATTTAGTAGTGCTAATAATTATGATTTTAACTGTACATATAAAATAAAATCCAAGATACTGCAGATCACATTTTATTTTATTCTGCAATATGATAACAGTTTATATCACAAAATTGTGTCTGTTTGTTTTCTGCATTGCAGGTGAGTAAGTTGCAGCATTTTGAAAACTTTGCCAGATCTCTACATATATGTATTCCACCAAGATGATGTGCAGCTAAACTGTTTTTTCTCCTGTGTATTTTAGGTGCATTAGGTTCCAGTACTTCTCTGGCAACAGTTAAAAGTTGTGCTCCAGCAAACGGCTGTCCGAGTGGCTCCATTAACCTCGGCAATGTAAAACTGACTTCTTACTGCTGTAGCACAGACCTGTGTAATAAAGATGATGCACCAGGTATAGTATTTTACAGTCAATAGTTTACATTACTTTTAGTTAGGAGCAGGGCCGGAGTGGGACTCCTTTTCAGCCCTGGAGTTTCAAGCCTCAGACCGGCCCACCTCAGTTCACGACTGACTATATTAAAATAAGGTCATTTCCAATTCAGTTGTTAATTACACTATCACGTCTTTTTTTGAGAAAACAGCTGCTTTAGAACTTCAAATGTTCAACAACCCTAACAGTATTATATGTCTTAACAATAAAAATGAAAACAATAAATTATTCTATCGAGGATTGAACCCAGGTCCGCAGAGTCTTAACCTAATGTGCTAACCGCTGGACCACAACAGCTGTGTACAATAAGGAGACACAACTAAGTTTTATCATCATTAAAAGAGAAGAGTTGCGAAAAGAGAAAAGAGAAGAGTTGCGATAAAATAATGAATAAAAAGGCTGTGGTCAAGTAAATAAATACATTTAAAAAGTGTGACTGCTGAGAGCAACAGATTCTGGAGCTAGGGACACCGGCCCTCGCGGCCAAAAAACGGACCGGCCCACCGGGAATTCTCCTGGTCCTCCTGATTAGCCAATCCGGGCCTGGTTAGGAGTGTAATGATACACAAGTCACAATTCAATCAATGTCTATACTGTACTCAAGGTTTTATCTCGATACTGTATGCTGAAATAAGAGTTTAATATTAGTATTATTTCTCAAACATAAAAATCAGTTATGATGTCGGGAATGAGCGTGTTTGCTTGAATGAGAGAGTGTATGGGTTTGTCCCAGCACTGGGTTGCGGCTAGAAGGGCATCCGATCCACTCAAAAAAAAGTATGTTTGCTGTTTATTCAAACTACTTACTTAAAATATGCAGAAACAACACAATTATTGATTTTTTTTTTTGGTGGACAAATAATTTGTTTTATTTTCAATTCACTTAAATTTTTAAAAACTAAAAAGTTTACTTAATTCAAGCTTCAAGCTGTCCCAACACAAATCGATTGTGTGGAACCCAGCATGTTAAAAGTAGTAGAGTTTGTAATGATTTTGAAGTCGCAAATATACATCATTACGAAACCCAGAACATGAAAATGAAATTGACATTATTGGGTTAATCACAACTTATAAATTCGGTAAACTGAATATATAGATATTACATCTAGTAATGAAACGAAGTTTTATGAGAGAATTATTAAATGATAAATTGAAAATGAGACTAAAAATAATAATAGATAAATATGATGTGCTGTACAAGATTATAATTTATACATTACCAGCAACAGATCATTTTTCACTGCATTTAACTTTTTTTTTTTTTATTGAGCTGGTTATTTCTTGATTTTTATTAAAATTACAGGTTCTATGTTATGTTTGTTAAAACCAAGACATTTATTTCCTCTGATCCGTGACTCAAAAAAACATAATGTGATCTGAACCGTGAGATTTGTGATTTGCTACACTACTAACATTTAGTATGCAAAAAATATAGGAGAGAGAGTTGCTGTTAAAGAAAGCATGTATATTTTTCCACCTGCAGATCCCAGCAATAACATGCCGAATGGAAACCTGTGTTACACGTGTGTTGGTGTGGACTGCACAGCTAAAATGGCCTGCACAGGGAGTGAAGACCGCTGCATGAAAGCAACATGTAAGATTATTAAAGTCTTTATTTAACATCACTCCTAAGTTTACATTTAATTATGGCTGCATGATATCAGAAAAAAATAACAATGCGATATTTGGTTATTCTGCGATATACAGTTGAAGTCAGAATTATTGTCCCCCTTGGAATTTTATTTCCCAAATGATGTTTAACAGAGCAAGGAAATTTTCACAGTATGTCTGATAATATTTTTTCTTCTGGAGAAAGTCTTATTTGTTTTATTTCGGCTAAAATAAAAGCAGTTTTTAATTTTTTAAACACCATTTTAGGTACAAAATTATTAGCCCTTTAAGCTATATTTTTTTTTCGATAGTCTACAGACTATCAAACCATCGTTATACAATAACTTGCCAAATTACCTTAACCTGCCTAGTTAACCTAATTAACCTAGTTAAGCCTTTAAATGTCACTTTAAGTTGTATAGAAGTGTCTTGAAAAATATCTATTCAAATATTATTTACTGTCATCATGGCAAATATAAAATAAATTAGTTATTATAAATGAGTTTTTAAAACTATTATGTTTAGAAATATGTTTAAAAAATCTTCTTAAACAGGGGGACTAATTCTGACTTTAAGTGTATATATATATATATATATATATATATATATATATATACACACATATCAAATTTGAGTTTCAAATGCAAAATAATACTTAGTCTTCATCGTTTAATTATTCAATAAAATTTGTCATTATTAATTTTACAAACTTTGCAATTTTTAACATTGCAGATTCTGCGATGTGACTATTGCGAATGATCACATCACGATATCTATGCTGAAACAATACTTTTAATTATGGCTGCACGATATTGGAAAAATGTAACATTGCGATATATATATATATATATATATATATATTTTTTTTTTTTTTTTTTTTTTTTTTTTTTTGGCGATTAAGTATTGCAATATGAATACAATTTCTCCAGGTGACTTAATATCTCTATCTGGAAAGAATTCATAATGTTTGATCGATTGGGATGATTTTGCAGTGGGAGTGCATCTGCATATAATCTGATAAACAATCTATAAATTTCCCCGACACATTTTTGTTGTTGTCAGTGCTATTTGCCATGCATTTTTGTATTTGCATGTGTTGTGAGAATTTTCATGAAAATGTTTAGTCAATGATTGATGAATTAATGTTTATTATTTGCATGTCCATAAAATCCAATAAATAATCGATAAACTTTTTGGGGTTCCACGACACATTTTCGTCGTTGTCTGTGCTATTTTAGCCTGATCTCATGAGGAAACTTAAGTATTTTCATTTTGTCAGTTTACGAGTTCAGTCATGAATGATCAGAATGATCACACTGCGATATTGATGTTGAAACAATATACTGTGCGGCCCTACTTTTAATGCATACATCACAGTAAACTCCAATGTTTCTTTTCCACAGGGACTTTAGGAGGCCAGACACTGGGTGTGAAAGGCTGTGTGTCTAAATCTATCTGTGATGCCGCAAGTTTGGTTCCTAATGTTAAGGGCATCTCATGCTGTCAGGGAAACTTGTGTAATGGAGCTAAAAGCATCACTCAAAGCTTCCTGTTCCTCTGTTTTCCTCTGCTCTCCTTTATCCTGATGCACTGAATACATGTTAAGATTCTATGTTATTTACAAATACTGTATATAGCGGGTATGTCTTCCTTACTGTATTTGGAGATTAATAATCGAGATGGGTTTTAATACAGATTTATAATTGGAGTTATGTGCATATTATGTCATTTCTGAATACAGGCTCTAAAGGGCAGTTTGTAAAAGAGTCAATAGCAGTGTGATGATCCATTATAAACATGCATTTATGAAATATGAACACTGTATCATTGTTCGTTTTTTACTGGATTGTTTGTTTAAGTACACAATTATAATTAAAATTATCTGTGATTTAAAAGCATACAATATTGACTTCTATAGCTTATTCATGCAGTGTTTTTAACCAATTATGAAATGCCTTTACAGTATATGTTTGTTTGAAGTACTTTGTTGTTTTTCCCCAGCAAATACTATTAAAATTTTATTAAAACTGATTTTAAATTAACTGAACTTGACTAAAAGCGATTAAAGGAACATTTAATTTCAGATCATCTAGTGTGAATGCATCATTTATTTGTGTTCGATGTGTTTGAATACAATTGCAAAAATGTCACGTTACTGAAAAACGTACTTAAGACATTAGCAGCTAATATGACTTGCATTTTTATGTAGATAATAAAACTGGGGGAGACACCATGGCTCAGTGGTTAGCACTGTCGCCTCACAGCACGAAGCTCGCTGGTTCTAGGCCTGGCTGGGTAAGTTGACATTTCTGTGTGGAGTTTGCATGTTCTCCCAGTGTTAACATGGGTTTCCTCTGGATGCTCCGATTACAAACATATGCGCTATGGGTGATTGAATAAACTAATTGCCCGTAGTGTATGTGTGTGAATGTGCATGGATGTTTCCCAGTATGTAGAATTAGACTCTGTTACAGCTGAAACTGTGGCAAACTCTGATAAATTAAGGGACTAAGCTAAAGGAAAATGAATGAATGAATGAATGAATGAATAATTAAACTAAAATGACTATAATGTACTCACTTTTTAATTTAACACAAAAATTGCTCCTAAATAATTCACAATACTCTGTAAATGCCTCATCTGTAAATACCCAAGTAACTACTGTATGTCTACAAAAAACATACTAGACTAAACTGTTTTTCCTTATAATGTTAGTGTAACTAACTTGCTATGTCGACTGAATGACTTAGCCTACCTGAGGTACAGTAATGTGCTACACAAACTTCTTTATTGTCGTCTCTCCACGATTTAAGACATGGTTTTGGCAATAACATCAGTATATTTGTTTCATTAACTTGTGCTCTTGGACACCCCGGGCCTACATAAACGAAACATTGCGAAGAAAATGACGTGTTTGTTGCTTGAAAAGTGCTGCCGAGCGCGCTTTGCCAGGGTGCTACATGAAGCTCCGTGGTACCTTTTTTTTTTCAGGGAAACACGGGAGGCCGGTAGTGAGACCTGCTGCCAGGGTTATGGTGGGTGGGAGCGTGGCACAAATCATCTTCTATTTTAAACTATAGTTTTATAGTTTACTATAAAAATAGAAAATACAGTAGTATTTGAACTGTATGTGGTGTCATGTTTTGTTTTCAGCAAGGCTGCGTGTTTACATTCTTCAGAGGTCAGACACAGTTCGGCCATCTTGAGGACATCTGGCAGGTTTGTAAACCAACAAATAACTTATAAATAATTATTCTATAAATATTAGAGTTTATTTAGAGAATTGGAGTTTGACGTTTTGATGCACTAATAGCTAATTTCAATCAAAACTTTCTAATATTCACTTGCACTCCTTCTTTTTGTTTCTTTTACTTAAATAAGGCAGGGGCGTAGACTTACATTGGTGGGGACAAGTCCCTTCCGTCCACCAACTACTGAAACGTCCCCACCAATAATTTAATTCACTTAAAAAAATAAAGGTCAGTCTACTACATGTATTGAGTTGAAACGAACCTTGACTTTCTGTTTACCTCAGTTACAGCAACAGAAATTCCCACCGCATGCCTTTCTGCATCGGACATCGTCTTCAACTGCCTTACAGGTAACATTTGTAATACAATACCGACCCCTTGTGGTTACTGCAGAGTACTACTCCATCTTTTAATAATACTATGATGTTTAATTTGTACGAAAAATAAACTAAAGTCTTTATTAAACTCTCTCTTTATCAGTTAATAAACATTGTATTAACATTACACTTTTAGGCCTGTAGCCAGGTTAATGAAAGGAGGGGTTATTTGTTTTCTGAAAAACTGAACTTTTTTTGCAGTTATTCACCTGATTTTCTGTTTAATTGAGGTATAAATATTACATTTTAGTGACGTATTAAGAACTAATATTTGCTGGATTATCTTGCTGGATTGGCCCCTACCAATCATGGCCTCCCTATCATCCCATTCCACTAAATTTGACTATCACTCTCCACTGGTGGTGATGTGAAGAGACCCCCCCCCCCCCCCCCCCCCACATGATTGTGAAGCACTTTGGGAGTATGGCCATACACAATAAATGCGCTATATAAATACACATTACATTACATTAAAAATATGACACAATTTACTGATTCATGGAAGACATTTTACTATTGACACTTTTAGTTTCTATATGTCATTGTTCTAGTATTCATTGTGTGTTAACAAGTATGGTGATTAACACTGAAAGAACTCATTCATTTTCTTGTTGGCTTAGTCTCTTTATTAATCCGGGGTCGCCACAGCGGAATGATTCGCCAACATATCCAGCAAGTTTTTACGCAGCAGACGCCCTTCCAGCCGCAACCCATCTCTGGGAAACATCCACACACACATTCATACACTATTTAGCCTACCCAATTCACCTGTACCGCATGTCTTTGGACTGTGGGGGTAACCAGAGCACCCGGAGGAAACCCACGCAAAGGCAGGGAGAACATGCAAACTTCACACAGAAACACCAACTGAGCCGAGGTTCGAACCAGCGACCTTCTTGCTGTGAGGCGAGAGCACTACCTACTGCGCCACTGCCTCGCCACTGCGCACTCCACAAGTTCTCAATTAGTTTTTGGTAACCTTTTATTTTTGGGTCTGTTGATTTTTGTTCTAAAAACAGGCTAATAGCCTAGTATATTCAGCTGTGATTTATTTTCTTATACTGATCTAATTCTTAAATGCTAACAATCTTATTTGTAGCATTAGCGATATGCTGAGTTGTTCTATGAGAGTTGGACACTAAATTACTTTACTGAGGTAAATAATGTATTTTTTAGATTCTGGTTTGACATTAAGACACTGTTTTTTGGCATTTAAAGATGATAATTTATTCTGTATTTAAACATACCTTTTGAATTCTATCATTTATTATAGCTTACTGTATATAGAGGAACAAATACATTGATTGGATAGCGCCATGTTCCCACCTAACTGAGGCGATCTTGAATCAGAGCAAAGGAAATACAACAGTGACATCCAGAGGAGAAGACTGGTAATTACAGCATTCACATTCATCAGAACCTGCATGTTATGAAATGTATATCCAATGGATCCAATGGAGGTGTCCACTGGTGGATGAATGGCTGTCTTTCCAATGCACAATGTTGATTTACTTTAAATTTAACTCATATCTGACTTCAATTTGAATATGAGGTGGTTTAGAGTATTAATATATATTTATCTTTTGTTTTATCTGATTCCAATCATCAATCATGTCAGTCTTGAATATTAAACAGAGGTAGATGACTACTACTTTTAGATGGCCGCTCCCATGCTTGCTCCTTCTAAAGTATTTTTGATTAGTCCTCCTTAGATGTACACCCTTGAGTAAAGACAATATCATTTCCATTCATAGGTTAGGGCCATTATTATAAATGTAATCGACTACTGTACTCTATAATAATTGTGGTTTAACCAAGCCCATAGTTTCCCATATACACTTAATTTAGAATAATATTACTTTCAAACAACCCTATCTAGGTTAGTCGTGAAACTCCTTGTTGTCCTAGACACAATTTAATGCCCTTTCAACCCAAGTACACTTGTATCAATATCAAGAGTCAGTCGGATCCCTAAAATACAATTAGTGAGCCCAATGCTCCATCTCAACTGGATTTTAGTCCTTCTACTGACCTGACACAGGAAGTGCGGAAACAAGGATACAGCGTAATCTACTAGAATGAATAACTACAGAGTGAGCAAAATATGTTTAAACATAACAATTTAATAGTCAGGTAAATGTGTATCATGCCAATTCATTCAGTCGATTCATAAACGATCAATGCAAGACATCAAATTCTCAAAGATAGATCCAAGATTAAAAGATGCATCCATGACTTCAAACTATGCATAACATGGCATGGCGCCGAACATTTAGAAACTTTCCCTTAAGTAGTAAATCGAAGAATCCCCTCAAGGAAAGGGGTGTAAATAACAAAAGGCATTTGCATTTAGTGAAAGAGTTTCGGCCTATAGGAAAGGCACACCCTTGGCAGTGGTTCAAAAGATACCTGAAGTTATATATTGTTTTGATTATGTCTATTTCTAAAACATTTCAAATTATATCAAACATGATAGATAAAGTCACTTGGGTTGATTTAGAACATTTAGACTTTGAAATGACCATTCTGTGTGAGTTGAGTGAAAAGGGGCTGAGTAACCAAGGTGGGTTTCGAGAAATGTTTCTAATGTAAATGGAGGAAAAGAGGGGGGCTGTTTTTTTCGCATTCCCACCTGCTGGGTTGTGGAGCCGATTCGTCTTTATTTTCGGCTCATGTTTGAATTGTCAAAGACATCAAAATATTTGTAATATCTCAAGTCTTACAGTGATAATTTGTCCCTATACTGAAGTGTTACCTACATTCTTTTTTAGGAACTGTGAGTGGTTTCATTACTGGAAACACAAACACCTTCTAGGCATACTTTCCATTCAGAAATGAGCAACTGAACTGGTTATTCCTGTATCACTTTTTATTTTTTGTACAGTAGATAGATAGACATACGATGGATGGATGGATGGATGGATGGATGGATGGATGGATGGATGGATGGATGGATGGATGGATGGATGGATGGATGGATGGATGGATGGATGGATGGATGGATGGATGGATGGATGGATGGATGGATGGATGGATGGATGGATAGATAGATAGATAGATAGATAGATAGATAGATAGATAGATAGATAGATAGATAGATAGATAGATAGATAGATAGATAGATAGATAGATAGATAGATAGATAGATAGATTCATTAAGCTGTATTTACACAGGCATTAAATGCCACTCAGAAATAATGTTATGAGCTTTTTTTTCTGTAAAAAAAAAAAAAAGATTTAAAGCATTATTTGTTGCGTGTCCGTAGTGTATGTGTGTGAATGAGTGTGTATGGATGTTTCCCAGAGATGGGTAGCAGCTGGAAGGGCATCCGCTGCGTTAAACATGTGCTGGATATGTTGGCAGTTCATTCCACTGTGGTGACCCCTGATTAATGAAGGGACTAAGCCGAAAAGAAAATGAATTAATGAATGAATAATTTGTTGCTTGTTTTGGTAATTA